CTTGATTTGTCTCCTTTTGATTTTCCTTTCTTCCTGTCGCCACAGAAAAATTTAAATGACAAAAAATTTAACTCTTTACAGTCAGCCGAAAACTACTTCACAATCTTCTTCCAACAAGAAACACGAAGTTTCTACGAAAATGGCAGCAACAAGTTTGTAGAACGATAGGAGACAGTTGTTTGAAACTATGTAATTCGTATTTTTAATCTTACAATACCTGGACAACATAATTTCCTACAAACTTACCACTAATAATAAGCGAATGTGTGGTCATTAGCAGGAGAGTGGGCAAGAGAAGTAACAGTTTATCATCGTACATTCTTGATTATTTAACCTATACAGCGAGGCGATTCTGAGAGAACTAGAAGTCCTACCATGATTCATTAGTGACGTTTACAGTCTTAACAATATATGCAGATGACACAGTGTTGATAACACACACAGAAAAACTACATAAACACCTACAGAAGGCAGTGAAGAAAAACAAGAAATAACAAAGCATCAACTGCAAGAAGACGGAATTCCTTGTCGTTATAGAAAAAGGATGAGCCTGATATGAAAATTACAAATTGGAGATGCCAAAATCAAGCAAGTACAGCAATTTAAATATCTGGCAAGTGTTTTAATAGAGGACGAAATGTGCGACACTGAAATCCGTAGGCGCATTGGGATAGCCAAAGATACATTGTAAAAGCTAAGCAGAATACTAAAAAACAGAAAATCTTCGCTAGAAAATAAGGAAGACAGTACTCATCTGTTACGTGATATCTGTCCTCCAATATGGCAGTGAATGCTGGGCAATCTACTCACAGATAAAGAAGAGACTTGAGGCAACAGAAACAAATAAAAGAGTACTGAACTGTTATGTAATATCAGTCCTCCTATATAGCAGTGAAAGTTGGACAATCTCCTCACAGTTGAAGAAGTGACTCGAGGCAACGGATACAAATAAAAGAGTACTGAACTGCTATCTAATATCAATCTTCCTATATGGCAGTAAATGCTGGCCAATCTCACAGATGAAGAAGAGACATGAGACAACTATAGGAATGCATTATAAATGATTTTACTATATGAATGTATTGCAAATAATTTTACTATAGGAATGCATTGCAATTGATTTAACTATATAAAAACACATTTTACGTTATTTTAATACTGTTTTAACCATCTATAAACAGTATTAAAATAAGATCCTGGAGAAAGACTGAAAAATAAAAGCAAATACACTGTAGTTACTGACATTTTTATCTTTTCCTTTTAAAAAAAAATGTATTTTAAAGTATTTTTAAAAATAAATGCAGGGTGTCACCAAATCTTTTTCTCTGTAATGTACCTGCCAAAGGTATGAAAGATAAGCGAGAAGAAAGGAGTAACCTTTAATTATTAGACAGAACGCTTGGTCCTCAACAACAGGGCCAGTCAAGAGTATGAGCTTCAAATTGGAGACATTAGCTTGATGATTGATTTTTTACAGTTTATCAACCTCTTGAAGGTTATTTAAAGTCAGAAAAAGTAGATCGTAAAACAACAGCGGCAGGCAAGAGTTTGAGCTTTAAATTGGAAACATTTACTTGATGATTGATTTTTTACGGTTTATCAACCTTTTAAATGTTATTTAAAGTCAAAAAAATTAGATCGTAAAATAACAGCGGCGGGCAAGAGTTTGGGCTTCAGATTGGAGGCATTAGCTTGATGATTGATTGATTTTTTACGGTTTATCAACCTCTTGAATGTTATAAAAAAGTAGATCGTAAAACAAATTGGGAGAGGGAGATAATAAGGATTTAGTGATACAAGTTTTATTAATTAATACATGGCTGTGGGAGAATAGTGGGATTCATACCTTTCCCAAGCGTATTAGTACCTAAGTGAATAAATGAAACTGGAACTTGGCTATTCGATTAACAATTCCGAGCCATTGCCCATTACACCAACTGCACATCCAATCGGTCCCTCATCTATATCCTGACAAGGCTTGACGTTGCTTGACTTCGGTGATCGTACGGGAACCGGTGTTTCAATGTTATTTGGCCGTGAGCTAGAGACATTAGAATTAAACTGGTACAGAAAACGACAGAATTGTGACACCGAAATCCGAAGGTGTACTGAAACCGCGAAAGATGCCTTCCAAAAGCGAAACAAAGTATCAAGAAACAGGAAAATTCTAATAAAAACAAAGAACTGAATTCTGAACTGCTATAATATCAATCCTTTTATATAGCAGTGAGTACTGGACAATTTCCTTACAGATGTAGAGAAGACTTGAGGCAACAGAGAATATTTTTACAGTGCGGTTCACTTTGTATAAGGTCCGGGGGCCACTCAAGTTAGAGGGTTACAGAAAAACAGTTTATGCGGATATGTGAGAAAGATAACGGTTAACACTAGACTTCAACAGGTTAAGATTGTAGTGATCGGGAAAAACATGCTCTTGGGAGTTGGTTCCACCGAGCAGTGGTTCGCGGAAAGTAGCTGGTCGAATGGAACTTACTTCTCATCGATGAAATAGGAATGTAGTTAGGGTGCTTCTCTACAATCGGCGTGGCAGGGTGGGTCCTAGCTGTGAAGGATAGATCTGGTGGAACTAAGGACAATAGTTCGTCTGGGCACTTTCGATGGTAATAGCGATAGAGAAGTGAGAGAGGCTTGTGACGTTTCGTCTCTTAGAGAGGGGTTGCAGGATGGAAAAATAACTTGTTACCCACAAGCACGCAGAAATGCTTTTGGACTCTATCGAGACTGGGTAAATGAGGACTAAGCAGCTCCTGCCCAAATATATGACAGCAGTACTCCATTTTAGGCCTAATCTAGCTCTGGTAGAGGTAGAAGATAGAACGATGAATCGGGTACTTACTAGGGCGCTACAGGTAACCAGTATTTTTATGTACGAGTGCCATTTGGATTGATGTTTCGCTCAAGTTACGGGGCCTCCCTGGGAGAACAATCTATTCATAGTGACGATATTCAGTCACCCCCCCCCACAAGGGTGTCATGTGGCACTAGGCCTTTTTAACGTAGGCATTCCGAGCCCGTGGGCTCGGCCAAAAATATCTATTCATAGTGACTGGTTCAGGATCCGATTGGCGATGATGCAATATAACTAGTTTGGTTTTCAAGGCATTAAATGCAACCAGCCAGTTTTTTTCCTACCCATTGAGATGTTAGAACAAGATCGGAGGGGAGATCAGCTGCCAATCTCTGGGCATTACGAGTTTTGGAGGTGCCCCCATATATCGTTGTATCATCGGTGGAACTAAAGACTATAGCTCGTCTGAACACTTTCCATGCAAATAGCAATAGAGCAGTGAGACGCTTGCTGCATCTCATCTGTGAAAGAGCGTGTGCAGAGTGGAAAATCATTTGTCACCCACAAAGGAAGCAGAGACGCTTTTGTACTCTATCGCTATTAGAAAGTGACGACTGGGTAACACCTGCCCAAATATGACAGTATCTTAGGCCTGATCTGGCTCTTGTAAAGGCAGAGTGTAGCACGAGGTCCAGGGAACCGATCCTTTTTCCTGCATCTTTGACGATGGCTCGTATATACGAGTTTCAATTGAGGTCTGGGCTTCGTTTAAGACTCAGTAGTTGCGAGGGAACATCCATTCATCCTGACTGATGGTACTTCGGTGTCAGATCAGCGATGATGGAATGTAACTTGTCTGTTCTTCGAGGCGTGGAATATAACCAGCCAATTTTTCCTCACCCATTGAGATGTTAGAGCTTAGATCAGAGGGGAGATCAGCTGTCTATCTCTCTGGTCATCACGAGTTTTGGGGTGAACCCATATATCGTTGTATCATCGGCATAGATATTCATAAATGATAGTATACTCTTAGGTAGAATCATTTATGTAAAGTAAAAAAAAAAAAAGTGCTTCAGAATTGAGCCATTGTACCTTTCAAGGTAAACGAAATAGATATTAATTATGTAGATAGAGATGTAATTTACGTAAAGTAGTAATTGAAATCTGTTTTTATTTATTAGAAGTGAGAAATACCGGGTTTCATAGCAAAATTGTCCAATTGTTAGATTAAATTTTCCATGCTGTATCTTAAAAATGATTAAAGATATCTTACTGGAATTCTCTTTTATAACACTATCGGACTCTACTTTGAACAATAAAAATGTATTTAGCTCTAAGTTGAAACGATGATCACTCTTTCTGTTGGGACCTCCTGATCCAGTTGTCCTCTCTACTGTTCGCTCTTTTTTAAACTTATTCACCGATCTCTTGATGGTTTTTTAATAGACTTTGAAGATGGAACCCTCTGAGCTGTTAGAGCAAAGTCAGAGGAGAGATCAGCTGCACCCATCAGCATAGATAATTACAAACGATCAGAGTATATTCTTCGGCAGATCATTTATGTAAAGTAAAAAGAGGGTTTGTCCGAGAAGTGACCCCTATGGAACGTCTGGCTATATAAAAGGATAATGAGAATACGATAGACAGAACATGTAGAAGTTTTAGAGGAAGTGGAAACAAAAAGGACCCTTGTACTTCGAATCAGAAAGAGATAACTGGAATTTCTAGGACACATAATGAGGGAAAAGAGATTGGAGACTTTGACACTCATAAGGAAAGAGGAGTAGAGGGCAAAATGGAGTAAATTAACTAAGAATAGGCATTAGAAAGAATAGTAAAAGTACAAACCTGGTTTACAGCGAGAAAGGATAGGAATTTGTGGTGAGCCATGATCGCTCGTCACGAAAGGAATTATCACATCAAAATTAAATGCCATTATTAATCCTGACAAATTTTAAATTCATCTTTATTTTTAATTGCTTTTTGTTACAACTTTTACTCAGGCCGCCGATCTGGGGTACAGGATCAAAAATGAACGATAGGTTTTCAGTGAGATTCAAAATGATGGTATTATGATCCAGGAACGTTTTGTTGGTTAAACGCATTAACGACTTTAAATGTTATATTACGATATTTTGCTGCCGGTTTTATGTGCAAACTGACCGATATTTCGAGGCCTACAGCAATGTCACACTGAAACACAGGTTCTCCTACGATCGCCGAAGTTAAGCAACGTTGAGCCTAGTCAGTACCTAGATGGGTAACCGTTTGGGAATACCATATGCTGTAAGCTTAGATGTGCAAGTGGTGTAATGGAAAACAGTTCGGAATAGCACTTGGGAGAGTTTTCATCCCAGTAGTGCTCGTTATATGCACCTACGCGCAAATATCCTTGGGTAAAGGTATAAAACAACCTTCTCTTCTTCCAGCTATGGGTTAAATAGTATGACCTGTATAAGTAAATTATTATTATCTCAAAAAAATATTTTAATCTAAAAAAAAAATTCTCTGGCTTTAAATAACCTAAAAAGAGTTGATAAGCCGTAAAAACAAATGAATCATATTATACTTCTTTATACAACGCCACATAGTGAGGGTTAAGCGTTTGGGAATACCAGGTGATATAAGCCTGGATGTGCGGGTGGTGTAATGGATAACGGGTCAGAATTGGAAATCGGTTCTCCGATTTCCAATTCCAGTCGGGTTCGTTACATTCACTTACACACAAATACTCTTGGGAAAAAGTATGAATCAACCTGTTCTCCCCAAGCTATGGATTAATTAATAGGAGTTGCGTCAGTAAATCATTATTATCGCCAAAAAATTCTGACAGACTAAAAATATTTTCTGGCTTTAAATAACCCGTGAAAGGTTGATAAACTTTCAAAAACAAATAAATCAATACCGAAATTTCAATAAATATGTTGTAATTACAAATTATAATTACGGAACATGCGCATGTATTACAACAGCCAATTCTTTAAACAGAAAAAAATGAAAACAATTCCTTTACAATAAAGACATAGATAACATAAAAATACACACGTTCCATTTTCTGAAACTAGTTTTAGAAGCAGTCCATATATTGATTTCTCCATATAAAACAGACCGTACAACGTCTAGAATAGCGTTCCAGAGTTAATCTCCGTTGGCAAATTACCATTCACCAATGTAAACCTTCCGTTTCAAAATACCCTGCATTCTTTTCAATCGAGTTAAAGAGCCGGTGAACAAGTCAGTCACTTCAAATTCATATTTTATTCATTAGTTTTCTTCACCGAATGCGATGGAGCATTGTTGTGCATAAAAAAATTATCTTTCTAACGCTGCATTCTTCTTGAACTACGGCTCCATCTATTCTTTGAAAAAACTCACTATATGTCTGACAAGTCACCATTAGGTCAGGTCGATTTTGGAACCATGGTATTGCACTCAATTTGACATGATAAATAATGATACATAATCTTTTTTTTCCTAACCGTTACTGTTTTTTGAGGAAACGAGTTTGAAGATTTAAGTTGAAGTTCAAAATCGTAGCGTTGGAATTTTATTCCAGTGATCAGTGAAAAGCCTTATAGCACAGCCTTATGAAATTTATAATTTTCTGAAACATTACAAATTTTATATGGATAAGATGCACACGGAAATTATTACTAAAGGCACACAGAAATTACTACTAAAGGCACACGGACATTATTCCTAAATCATTGTGCCATCAAATAAGACCTTCATTTATTTCAATTATTATACTGAATAATTTAGCAATATTATGATGTAATATATTATACGGTGCAGTAGTTTTTACTGCGATTTTCAATAAACAATGCGAATTTAAAACATTTTGTCTTATAATTTGTGCCCAGCAGTGTTATGGTGTTATATAAACGTTTATCTTTTCTTTTTTTTTTTTTTTTAAGCATTTCACCCCAAGCAAGGCGGGAAGCCACTAGGACGCAAGGGGTTACAGAAGATAGGAAGATCAAATAGGAGTGATAGAAGATAGGATGAGGGTAGTAGATAGATTAGGGCAACTGGAGATGTCGATTGACATTACACTTGAATAGCTGGAGATTATAACTCACAGGGAAACAGGAGAAGGGAAGAGAGTTCCACAGGCGAGAGGTGCGAGACATGAAGCTATTAGAGTAGAAGAGACGGCTACATTTAGGAGTTTCGACAGTGAAGGGGTGAGAGCGGGATGCCACCCTCGTAGGGCGCTTGAACTCATGAAGTCTGGGAACCAGCGAATGCAGCTCCTCGGAGCAATTCCCATGAAAGTATTTGTAGAACAGACAGAGGGAGGCGACGGTGCGTCTGTGAGAAAGTGACTGTAGACGAGACGCCAGGGCAGGGCCAACCATATTGCATATCCGCTTCTGGAGCCTATCAAGAACCCCGAGGCAAAAGGGGAATTTTGTTTTTATTAATTAAGATCTAATACATGATCCAATGAATCTTACTCACTGAGTAGCTTTTTTTTAAAACTTTTACAATTTTTTTACTTATTGAATAAAGTAAAAAAAATTGCATATTTTGCTCGTGGTGATTCATAATTAGAATTCTAGTTTTAATATATTTTCCATTCAATGTATTTAATACAAATGATAACAGCTTTATTTGGATTTATTCTTGAAATAGTCAAATTTTTAAGTCACTTTGTAAGGAGAAACCTGTGGAAATTTGGTATTCCTGTACATTTGTATCAGACGATCTTTAAAACTACATTCTCAAAATTTGATAAAAGCTATGAATCTAAATTTTGGTGTCAGTGCTTATCACATCAAACCCCAGCTTTCACACCCAATGCAGTGTTGATTTTCTCAAAATAAGTGAAAAATCAACCTGCCCTATTCACCCTAGGCCTACCACTTCATCACCTATAGTCTCAATCCAAAATATCACACCACCATTGCCTTGTTGACACACTCTCCTTCTTCTTTTTTGTGCCGTGGCTCCACTTCCTCCGTGGCTCCACTTGTAGTTCTCAATAAGTTTTGTCATTGTACTACTATCCCAGACTCCGTTCTGCCATCCACCTGCTTAATCCCGCTAGATATGTCACGCGTTGCTTTCCCTTGTCTCGCTTTCGCTCTGTCTGACTTGTGAGTATCAGATTCCCCAAGCCCACCTTTCTCATTAAGTGTCCCATAAATTTCAGCTGCATCTTCCTGGTGTTAAATATAAGTTTACTTTTTGTTTGCATCCTCTCCAAAACCTCATCGTTGCTCGCATGTTCAGTCCATGATATCCTTAGCATCCTTCTGTAGAACCATACCTCTGTCGCCTCGAGCCTCTTCTTCATCTTTGAGGAGATCGTCCAACATTCGCTACCATAAAGAAGGACAGATATCACATAGCAGTTCAGTATTCTTTGTTATCAACGGAATCCTCCTGTCTCGTAATATTCTGCCTAGCTTTTGGAATGAGTCTTTGCCTATCCCAACACGTCTTCGGATCTTAGCGTCGCACTTTCTGTTCTCTGGCAGAACACTTTGTAGATATATAAATTTCTGAACTTGCTTGATTTTAGTGTTTACGGCCTGTAAATCGCATTTCTGGCTCATCTTTTTGCTGATGACCGTGCATTCTGTGTTTTTGTAGTTTATGCTTAGTCCTTTCTTCTCGCTCTCCTTCGCTATACCTTCTGTGGGTTTTTTAATTTCCTTTCTGTATCTGCTATCAGCATTGCGTCATCTGCATATCTTATGTTGTTAAGATTGTAGCCACCAATAATGAATCCTAGTAGAACTGCTAGTTCTCTCAGAATTGCCTCGCTGTATAAGTTGAATAAGTCCGGTGAGAAGACACATCCTTGCCTTACGACTCTTTCTATTTTTGTATATCTGCTGAAGTCATTTTCTATCCGTACGCAGGCTGTTTCCTACTAATATAGGTTCTTGATTTATGAGGTCGGTTTCTGCCATAACCACCTAGTCTTTATACCATTCGTCTGGCCCATTGGTAGCACGACAAATAAAAAAAAATCGGTTGAAAAATCGGTTTTCAATTATCCTGTTGTTTATTTCATCCAGTTTTCCTTACAAATTTTCATTAAAAAAAACTAAAACAAATGGTCGGCCTCATGTTTTGCTACTTGATTTACCATCTGACGTTGTGCTTTTCAACATTTCCTCCCCGCCACAACGCTTATAAATTTCACTGCTTGAAGAAAGATTTTATAAATTCCCTCTTCATAAGAGACACAGATCAGCGAAACTCAACTCCTCAACTTAAGTCGTATCAGGTTTGTTTAGAAGTCGTCCAGAAGCTTCAACAAGCATCTCTTGTCTTTACTTTTTAAACGCTCCATAGTCATAAAATATTACTCATTAACCGTAAAAGCAGCCTTACGTACGGCTCATTTGAACACTTTAAGCACGCAAAGACGTCAAAATTTATATGGCTGCCGCTGTATGACGGTGACGTGTCGGATAAATGTTCGATTCCTGTTGGAGGGCGCATATTTCTATGACATTTCTCGGACATTCAGGCCGCTAAATCTTGTTAATACTGTTTGTTATAAACAGCGTATTTACTTAAATATTTGTGTCTATATAAATAATGTATAACAAAAAACATATTAAAATAATGGTCGTACTTTTGTCTATTTCATTATATATATATATATATATATATATATATATATATATATATATATATATATATATATATATATATATTGATAATATTAAAAAATATACATACATATGCAAAATATATATAAAAATTCCATACATGTATATTTTCAGAAAAAATTTTCCAAGAGGAAGGATCCAGGTAGAACTCAATGTCTAGGACAGAGTAAGGATATAATAAAAAAAGGCAAACACTAATATTCCATGGTCATAATTTATTCCATTGGAATCGTAAATACGATCAAATCATCAGACCTACAAATTCAAAAATTTTGAATTTGTAGGTCTGATGATTTGATCGTATTTACGATTCCAATGGAATAAATTATGACCATGGAATATTAGTGTTTAAGCCTTTATATATTATTATTATTATTATATATATATATATATATATATATATATATATATATATATATATATATATATATATATAACCATATAACATACATACATAGTTTCTTTTTTATCATTTCGCCCCAAGCTAGGTGGGAATGTCACTAGTACACAGGGGATTACAGGGAGTGAAAGTGAGAGAAAAGAAGAAGGATTGCGGAAAGGACAAAAGATGAACGGGATTCAAGAAGATAAAAGATAGTGATTGACGTTGCATTTAAATTTTTGAAGGTTGTACTTACCAGGGAAGCAAGTAAACG